TTCATTACATTTAACAACCCAGAATTAGTCGGCTCAAAGGGTCTGTTGCTGGCTTCTTAAATGCTGGTTTGCTTGACTGTCATGCTGTCATGCTGACACTCTTGCTTCAGTCATGTGGGTCACTAACCCGGAAGAATGAAAAAAACTTATGCAGGGTTATTCACAAAAGGGTGTAGAGTTTGGAGAAGGCCGGAGAAGTGAACAATCTAGGACAACATAGCTGATTTGGAAAATTTCTCTAATTCAGCTCACTTCCCAGTTCAGCGATGTTGTACCAAATTTTTTACTTCTCCGGCCTTCTCCAAACTCTTCACCCTTTTGTGAATAGCCCTCATAATGTTGAAGATGTCTGCTGCACACCATACAGCGCTGAGCCCAATGTCTCCAGGACAGGTGCTTAAATTGACCGCCACGGATGGTGCCGTGCAAAACTTCAGAGATGTGAAGATCGGTTAGGTCACCAGAACTCCAAATGCAGAAAAAGTATTATTTAATGTAAAAACATCACATAGGTCGAAATTGCCAATGTTTCGGTGCCCCTTAGTGTTGCTTCCTCAAGGCAACACAGCAACAGTCATTGTGTCGCCTTGAGGAAGGGACTCTGCGTGGCCCCGAAACATTGCCAATTTTAACCTATGTGATGTTTTTACATTAAATAATACTTTCTTTGCATGTAAAAAACTTGATATTTCTGTTGCTTGAAAAAAAAAAGTTGGAATATTGACATTGGCTATTGCACTGCTGCTTTAATCTTCCTTCAATCAGTGTGCTATCTGTTCAGCAGTTTCAGTTTTCAGTTCTTCATTCTCTGATCATTGTATAAAGCTAGAAAATAGAAAACAAAATAAATATGTATTTTAAAACAGGAACAAATATGGAAACACAAGTGTAAGCTGGTAAGCAGCTCATTGGCTTAGTGGTTAGCACTTCTGCTGGGGGGTCCCCAGTTCGAATCCTGGTCAGAACTCTTTCTGCATTGAGTTTGCATGTTCTACACACGCTGGTGTGGGTTTCCTCACAAAGACATGCTGGAAGGATCCTTGGCTTCTGTCTAAATCGGCCCTGTATGTATGTGTGATGGGGACCTTAGATTGTAAGCTCCTCAAGGGCAGGGACTGATGTGAATTTGCAGTATGTAAAGCGCTGCGTAAGTTGTTGGCACTACCTGTAATAATAAATAAAATATACTGCTTTTAAAGAGGATTGCAAAAATTAAAACAGAGACACATATGCAATTACCTCTAGTCTTATTCTTAAAGGGGAAGTCTACTTTCAAAAAAAGTATACTTACCCTCTTTTCTCCATTCACCATCCTCCTCTCTAGCTGCCCACCGCAATGTTTACATCCAGAGCTTATGTTTTGTATGTTTTACATACAAAGTTCATGCTGCCTTCTGCCTGGAGAGCTTTAAATCTGACTCAGCAGGGGGGGTGTCGGACCTCTGCAGAGAGACCAGTGCTTTCACACTGAGATCAATGGTCCTGCTCCGCAATGTGGTGGCAGGGGACAGGCTTTTCTACTCAGCCTGTGGCTGCTTTCTAAAGAAAATGAACTGTAAGACGTTGAACATCTTTCTTTGTATGCGCCTCAAATGTATTTTGCTGATTTAAAGCAGACCGTTCTGTAGAAAACTAAAATTTGCTCTCAGGTGTGATTTTAATACAGCAAATACTCTGCAATAAAAACTTCTTACCTCTGTGAAAGATTGTGCACTAAGCGGTGTATGCCTGTGAGTATAGTGGACTTAAGTTCCCATGTAAACTGAAAGTAAAAAATGTGGAAAATGTGACTTTTTTTGCAGCTCTAATATTAAAAAATATGTACAAACCGCTACTCTATCCCTTTAATTGCTCTCTCTTTTTCCAGCTGCCTTCACCATGATTGGGACCTCCAACCACCTATCCGATAAATGCTCCCAATTCGCCATTCCATCCCTGTGCCACTACGCCTTTCCCTACTGCTCTGAGAGCTCGTCGTCCCCCAAGCCACGGGACCTGTGCCGGGACGAGTGCGAGATCCTGGAGAACGTCCTGTGCCAAGCCGAGTACATCTTCGCCAGGTCCAACCCCATGATCCTAATGAGACTGAAGCTGCCGAACTGTGAGGACCTTCCGCAGCCAGACAGCCCCGAGGCCAGTAACTGTATACGTATTGGAATACCAATGGCGGACCCCATCAATAAGAGTAAGTGCGGGCCGGCAGCAAGAGGCACAATTATTACCCGCTCTGGCGGCTCAAGAGATTGCTCTCCTTTCTCTGTGTGCCAACAAAAATTGTATTGGCTTTTGCCCTAAAAGATTGCAAACTATCCTCTGCCAACGTACCAACCACACAATGAACTTGGCCATTTTCTCACACTCACAATTCTCTTTTTGTACTCACTGGTTCTCTTTCCTTCCCCCTGTGGTTCTCACGCTTCCCCTATAATAATGAAGCCTCATTAAGGGCAGCGCTTGGGGATGTTCCCAGTTGTTGTCTGCTGCACGCTTTGCTTTTAAAGGGACATTCAATGCAAATATATTCACTTCACTTAAAGCTGAACTCTAGAAAGAGATATACAACACAGAATTACAGCAGTACCCCCACCCCCAGTCCCTGCACTGTAAGGGTAAGTGCTCATTACCTCCAGGGGTAAAATATATAATACTTACATTATCCCTCGCTGTGGCCGACTTCTGGTGTTCGTCTCTTCTCTCCAACGCTGTGTGCGGGCCCTTGACATCCTGAAGTATATTTTAGAAGATTTTCTGTTTGAGGAAACTACTACCGTTATTTGTGGTGGATTGTAGAAAATGGCATATATCATTGAATCTACCAGAAGCTGTGTATTTATGATGGTTATGTTGTCCTACTTGTCTGTACCAGTGCAGCTCAGTGTGTCCTGTAAATTACTTCTACTAATAACCACACCAGACAGTCCCCTCCATTGCTTCATTATGTCCTGTAATCAGCACTCTACTCTGACACTATGCAAAGTGATACATGAGCGGACAGACAGTAATAATATAACCTATAACCATAGTATAATGAACATTGTTCCATTATACCCTAAACATTTATAAATGTGTTATGTATACATGTATCCTCCTATGTATATAAACTGTATCCTCCTTTATACCATAGTAGATTGTAAGCTCTTCCACCTTTTCTATACCTTTCCTTTAACTAAATACATATAAGCACTTCTACCATGTGTATCCTCCCTTATACCCTAATAGATTGTAAGCTCTTCTAACTTCTGTATCCTCCTTTATACCCCAATAGATTGTAAGCTCTTCCACCTTCTGTATCTTCCCTTATACCTAATAGATTCTAAGCTCTTCCACCTTTTCTATACCTTTCCTTTAACTAAATACATATAAGCACTTCTACCATGTGTATCCTCCCTTATCCCCTAATAGAGTGTAAGCTCTTCCACCTTTTCTATACCTTTCCTTTAACTAAATACATATAAGCACTTCTACCATGTGTATCCTCCCTTATCCCCTAATAGAGTGTAAGCTCTTCCACCTTTTCTATACCTTTCCTTTAACTAAATACATATAAGCACTTCTACCATGTGTATCCTCCCTTATCCCCTAATAGAGTGTAAGCTCTTCCACCTTTTCTATACCTTTCCTTTAACTAAATACATATAAGCACTTCTACCATGTGTATCCTCCCTTATCCCCTAATAGAGTGTAAGCTCTTCCACCTTTTCTATACCTTTCCTTTAACTAAATACATATAAGCACTTCTACCATGTGTATCCTCCCTTATATCCTAATAGATTGTAAGCTCTTCTACATCCTCCCTTATACCTAATAGATTCTAAGCTCTTCCACCTCGTCCTCTATGAATACAATCATGAAAATCATTTTACATTTGTTTCCCACACCTCTGTTTTCTTTGCAGACCACAAATGCTATAACAGCACGGGGGTGGATTACCGCGGCACGGTGAGCGTCACCAAATCTGGGCGGCAGTGCCAGCCGTGGAATTCGCAGTATCCGCACACTCACACGTTCAACGCTCTGCGCTATCCTGAACTGAACGGGGGTCATTCCTACTGCCGGAACCCCGGCAACCAGAAAGAGGCTCCGTGGTGCTTCACATTGGACGAAAACATGAAACACGAAACCTGCGACATTCCGGCCTGCGGTGAGCACAGATCAACCTCATTCTACCTTATGTGTGTGCTACAAGGCCGATCTACATATAACTAGTCAAATGGATTGAGGGCGGGGCTTAAAGGACAACTCCAAGCCTTGTTTTATAAAGTTTTGAGCGGAGAGTGAACCTTCTTCTCTCTGACTCCGCTGCTTTGATCTGACCCTGTCACCAACTTAAAAAAAATGAAAGTTAAAACCCAGAAAAATCAAGTGTTTTATAGGATTACTTTCCAATATTTGTTTGGTGTTCACTTGCAATCTGCCTTTGAACGTGCTAGAAAAGTTGCTCTTACGTTGTCACCCTGTTGCACACTTTTCCATTGGAGACTACAAGTGGGTATCTGAACACATATTACACAGACATAGGCCAATGTTGTCATCATCAGGAGACCCTGGATGAGAAATGCCATGCAGCCATCGCTGGAGTTCATGTAGACAGGGCCCGATTTCCCACAAGGCCAACCAAGGCCCGGCCTCGGGGCAGCAGGGAGTGGAGGGGCAGCAGGGGTGTGGAATTCCTATCCTCCGATGCCCAGGCGGGTAGTTGTTTTCTACATTTAGCCCTGCTGGAGAGAGAGTAAAGCCGGCCCTGCATGTAGACAGGAAGTGGCTGCAGGAGATCAGCAGCAATCTTCTTCTACGTTGTCACCCCATTATACACTTTTCCCAATGGAAACTATCAGTGGCCATTTGAACACACATGAATACACAAGCATGACTCGCTGTTGTCACCATCAGGAAACCTGCCCTGTGAAATGCCATGCAGTCAGTCATCGCTGGAGTGCATACAGACAGAAAGTGGCTGCGAAAACGATGCAGGAGCACTGAAATTTTACAACACATGAAAGACATGTATGTAAAATATAATGGCAATTGTTGCAAAGGAAACGTCCCTTAATAGGGAATCCATCTACTTAAAGGAGAACTATGGGCTCAGGGCTTTTCCCCATTGTTCTCCTAAGGGTAACGGGAGGACACAAACTAGCGTCCTCCCATCACCCAAAGCTCAGTATAGCTTGCGGTATACTGAGACACCGCAGCCGGAACGGATCCCGACAATTCTGTCTGGATCCACCCAGCTCTGCTTATCTAGAGGCAGAGCCAGCTGTACCCGCCCCGTCCGTTCCGCCAGTCAGCGCTGGAGGATCAGAGCAGGGAGGGGGGGAATGCCTGCAGGTAGCCGTGAGTGACAGTCACGGCTCTCTGCACAGATAGATCGAGAAGTGAGCGAGCGACGGTATGTGTTCGCTCACTTCCCGATCTACTGAACCGACCTGTGAAAGTTTCATTGTCACAGGTCGACTCAGATTATGAGGCTGAAAATCACTCGCCTCATAATTCTCCTTTAAACCCTGTAAATGGCAGAGATGGGCAAGGAAGGGTTGCACCCTCTGCAGCCCGGTAGCACGTAGCATGAAACAAGGGCTCTGTATCCAGGATCGGTGTTTCTCTTTTATTGTGGAAAGAGGGGAGGCCCCCGGTGTCAGCGGTGCTACTGTGCTGTGTGATCTGGGAGCCTCAGGACACAGGCCGCCTTTGTAGCACGTGAAAAAGGAGCCCTGCCGAGGAGAACGTCACAGCCTGGAAGCTGAAGCCGCAACATCCCAAACAGGAAATTCCCAGGCCAGGCAAACTTCACCGCTGATGCATGTGTTCTGCAACCGAGGAATGACACCAAATCTTCTCGCTGCTCGCCCTGTTTACAAGGAAACACAATATCCACAGTGATCTATGGGATCCGATGCATGGCGAGGACTGCGGAAATGCCCGCGTTGGGACACTAATTAGCCCTATTACTGTACACTTCCCACCTCGCGGCCCTGCGGTCGGCACTTATAACGCTGGCGCTGTACTTGATGAAGTATATTATTTGGGAACTTTAAAGGAGTTGTAAAGTCCCGGCATATCCTCTCCTGTTATAACATCAGCATTATAACAGGAATACATAGTAGAGTTGCTTCTGATAATGCCATCAAGACTTAACTGTGCCTAGCTGGGCAAGGTTCCACCTGCTCAGCCACACCATCTATTATCAAATCCATTCCCAGGGATCTGTGAATCCCCATCTGCCATATCTCAGTAGAGCACAAGTGCAGTGCCGTTGTTCTATCAAAGTTTGTAACTACGTTAGAATGTGTGAGCGGTCACGTGGTCACACATTTTAACGTAATCCCACCCAGTTTTTCAGCTGTGGAATGAGTGACCACCCATTAGGTCAAGCATTCCAACTCTTTGTCAGCTGTTCCAGGGCAGATCGGCATCGCAGATGGTATGTGCAGGAGAACAGATCTGCCCTGGATCAGCTGATCGGTCCTGGAATGTCACTTCTGTCCGACTTTGTGAGTGCAGTGGCGTCACAAAGGGGGTGTGGCCCGCACCCGGGTGACACCAAAATGATTGACAGTCATTTTGGTGTCACCCTCTCTAAAAAGTAATGGACCGAGAGCCCGACAGTGTCAGGAGAGAGGAGGGGACACGGCCGCATACCTCATCCCGCCGGCTGAACGTCCCCTCCTCTTATCTGCCGGTGTCCATCACCAAGATGGCCCCCAACAGGCGTCAGTTAGATGACAGCGCATGCGCGATTACATCACAGTGGGGTGTCATCCGGTCTCTGCTCCGGGTGTCACCCAGCCTCGGGACGCCCCTGATGGCACATATAGCACACGCCCTGGGTGCCACTTGAAGGGGGGGCACCAACAATTCACTAAACCAGAGAGAGATGACTTTTTTTCTCCCCACCCCTCTCCCATACACATCTGCCCGTTTGGCGCTTAGCAACCAGGGACGCTATGGCCAGCATCCCACCCAGTGACATCAATGGTTGGCAGGAGCTGGGTGGGACACCGGCCAGAGCATCCCTGGTTGCGGAGAGCCTGGACACATTGTCCGGAATGCATCCTCTTCTGAGTTTTGTTTTTGCTGTCTGTGTTGCTGCTGGGAAGATTTTAATCAGTTAATAAATGAAAAAGGAGGTTTGAAGCTTCTCCACCCAATAAGGGAAATTTGTTTTCTGGAGTTCTAGCATAAAAAAGTAAACTCTATATAAATAAATGAAGGCATTGCTGATCCCCATTTCCTTTACACTATGTACCATATACATTTCTTGCACACCGAATACGTTATTAATCATCCAAATCTCTATTTCCCAGACTCCAAAGATTCCAAAGAAAAGAACAAAATGGAGATCCTTTACATCCTGGTCCCCAGCGTGACAATCCCGCTGGCCATAGCTTTGCTGTTCTTCTTCATCTGCATCTGCCGGAATAACCAGAAGGCATCATCTCCGGTGGTGCCGCGGCAGCCCAAACCGGTCCGAGGGCAGAACGTAGAGATGTCCATGCTGAATGCTTATAAGCCAAAGGTAGTACATACAGAAAGAAGCTCCGCCCCTTCTGTGCTTTTTTTTCCATTGCATTGCAGTACGACTCAGCTTTTATTTTTAGTTCTGGATGGAGTAGGGAATGGTTAAAGCACCTGTGAGCTTCTTTTTTTCTATCTGTTTTCCTGCACAGCAATTAAAACATGACAGGGGTTTTATGGTGTCTGTTTATAAACCATTCACAGACTCATTCACTCTGTGAATCTCTATGAATGTTTGTTGTGTGTAAATGGAGGCAAAACAAACAATCTTAGTATATTTTCTTTTCAGGTTGAATGTAATATTTGGAAAATTCCACATTATGGCCACCAGATGGAGCTGGGGAGTATGGGAAATGAGTATGGCCACTAGATGGAGCTGAGGAGCATAGGACATGAGTATGGCCACTAGGTGAAGCTGAGGAGCATAGGACATGAGTATGGCCACTAGATGGAGCTGAGGAGCACAGGACATGAGTATGGCCACTAGATGGAGCTGAGGAGCATAGGACATGAGTATGGCCACTAGATGGAGCTGAGGAGCATGGGAAAAAGATGCTTACTTTCTATGCTCCTCAGCTCCATCTAGTGGCCATAATAGATCCTCTAAATTGAATATACAGTAAGTATACAAACAGCGCTCTCGGAAAGGGGCTCTGGCTGAACAGTATGCTGCCCTGAAAAACAGTAGGAGGACCTGTGCTGGCTTCAAATAGAAAAACAAGTTTTGCGCCCGCTGTGAGTTTTTCTATTTGATAATAGAGCCTCTACAATTAAAGGAGAACTATGAGGCGAGTGCTTTTCACTCACCTCTTAGTTCTAGCCGACCTGTGACAATGAGACTGTCACAGGTCGGCTCAGTAGATCGGGAGGCGAGCGAACACATACCGGCGTTCACTCACCTCTCGATCCTGTGACGGCTCTCTGCCGTGACAGGGGAGGGGCTGGATTCCACCCCTCCCCGCTCCCATCCGCCTGCGCTGACTGGCGGAACGGACGGGGGAGGGGGCGGGTACAGCTTGCTCTGCCTCTAGATAGGAAGAGCCAGCTGTCAGTCACGCAGCTGGGCGGATCCCGGCACAATTGTCGGGAACCGCTTCAGCTGCGGCGTCTCAGTATACCGCGAGCTACAGCTCGCAGTATACTGAGCCTAGGGTAACGGGAGGACGCTAGTTTGTGTCCTCCCGTTACCCTAAGGAGAACTATGGGGAAAAGCCTTAACCCCATAGTTCTCCTTTAAGCCCAGCCTTGTCGGTGAAACGAATCTAAGGAGAAGATCCCAAGCGGGTGCTTTTTGTTTGTTTGTCCTGGACTATAACGTTGCCAACGTTTGAACTTTCCTGGAGGGCAGTTGGTTATTTTCCTTCCTAGACTCACTTGATATGCAGGGCTCAGGAAAAGACCCCGTCGGTAATTAGCACCCGGGTCTATAGAAGAATGACCCCCATCTAGGGCTTGGGAAGAGCGCACTCTGCAGTTGAGTCTAAAACTGGTGACTCATGGATATGAGGTCATGTGGTCCAATTTGACCCGGTCACCTGACCCAAATGAAAGCATCCACGTACCTCCTATCTACAGCCAACTTTTACTCTTCGGTATGGTCAGTGGGTTTCAACAGACCCAAAGCAGAATACTCAGTTCCTGCTAAAGTTTGACAAAGTCATTATGAAAGGGAAAAAAATACGAGTTTAGAAAACG